GCCCAAACTACCTCTAAAGTTTTCTTCCTTACAGCTCCCTTCAAAGAATCGTGTGGCCGATAACGAAAACAGCTCTGACCTCAGCATCTCAAGGCGAATGCAATAATTTTTTAGGGGGCCGAGCTCAGCTGTTTATTTGCGGGCCTAGTCAGAGTTAGGATGGTATCCTGGGCCCAACATCTTTGCGTAGCTCTCAGACCGTGTTCTAGTCAGAAGGCAACATCTTGCGATAATTGATGTATGACTGGATAAAAAGAGGCCCTGCTCCGTTTGTGTTGCATAGATGAAAAGGCTTTTCCGCAAGCTTAACTTTTTCATCGCACCATCATCCATCCCTTCTTCAAACTGTTGTATGTCTTTTGCAATGGGCGACATCGTTGCGCTAGTTAAGGACTGAACTGAACCCGCCAGCCAGAGAGGGCTTGTGCCGCGCATGAACGGCGTCCTTGTATGGAGAACATGAAGTTCCTAATTTGTACACATTTTGCGAACCTCGAGTGTTTGCAGTATATTTGTCCCTCGTTAGCAGCAGAGTTGTGACGAATTACAGCGGCGCAAAAATATTAATGAGATCTGAGATAAGATCAAACATGGCGCTCGTGGTGTGATGGTAGCAGTTCTGACCAAAAAGCAAGGCGGGCCGAGTTCGAATTTCAGCTGAGGCAAAGTATTTTGCTTATAATTCAGCTTCTTGTGAAGCTGTTGAGCCTTTGCTCCGAGACAATTCGTAGTGGAAAGATTTTCGCGGAAGCGACCAAAAATTTATCGTAGTGACCATTTTAGGAAAAACGAGCCGATTCATGTCAACTTCTTGGCGAGTACATGGAGGCGCTGGAACAGAATTTCAAGGCCGCTTACACACTTTTCAAACAGAACTGCGAGGAGCGGAAATATCCGAAAAGTTGTTTCAAATATGGAATGTATCTGTTGACCGGAAAAGGTAACGTTTCTGTAAAAGTTTCAGAACTAAGGAAATCCTTGGTAATATTTATAGTTTGGAAGGTTCGCCAACCATAAATCTCCCTAACCTATCCCTTTTTGTGATCGTGCATTACTTCCAATCGAATCGCACTGGCAATTCGACTGCGCTCTATCGTATACGATGACTTCC